ATGTATAGTTTAATACAAAGGACCGAAAACCAATCACAAAGAGTAGGCTACTTTCTTCATTTAAAAACATGAGATGCAGTGGGATGGGGGAAACCGCCATAAAGTCTCGAGACATGTTATTTAAAAGTTGAACTTGCATTAATTTTACATGTCTTTCTAAACATGCGGCTCTCTTGTGCGAGACGCGAGTGCAACGCTGATAGATGTCCTGCTAGAAAATGTGATAAATATGCGTTCTGTGTGAACAGTTTTGACGTATACAACATCTTCTCCACACTGATGCTCTCGTTTTCCGCTATATATTGAATGAACAACGTAGCAGCGCAGCATCTAGTGGGTTCAACTGGATAGGCTAACAAAAGCATTAAAATGCAATGACACTTACATCGTCGTCGCATTTCGTGTGCCACTGATAAGGCTGCCTGACGGCTGATGCAGACCTAAAATTCGAATGCAAAAACGTGGATTTTTGAAAAAAAATTCGACGAATATTCGAAATTCGATTTTTTTTTTACAGCCCTAATAAACCTACAACTTGTGATGAGAAGCAGAAGCAAGTGGAGAAAAAGGTACTCCTCTCAGAAAACGTACAAATAAAGATCATTTCAGATGTTTAATTACTATTTGGAGCATTGGGATCGCTAGAAGAGGGCTTAATGGACTAATTTTTGTGAAAACCTCAAATTAGACCAAAACTGACATTTTTCACTTCTTTTGCCTGTAGCTCAAAATTAGACCGTGTGCATTCACACTCATTCTGCCAGCACGGCTCACAGATGTTGATCATTTGAGTATGGTTTCAATCCCACGTTGCTGTGTTTCAGCCAGCGCTCTTCCAGCTGATCGGTTATCCAGGGTGACTCGCCGCGGGATGCTGTCCGACCCGAAGTCCAGACAAGACACGAAGACCGTTCATCACAGTAAGGACAGTTTGGACATGTTTTTGTAAAAATGTCAGAATCTGAATGAGATTTATTACCGAGTGTGCTTACACGCACACACACACGCACACAAGGAGTTTGTCTTGGTGAAACCAGGGTTATTATAGATTACTAAAACTGAAACTAAAAGCATAAAAAACTGGGTACTTGAAATAATTTTTAACTTAAAAATAAAATATATTAAAAAACTTATTTAATTTCAGCTAGTTGCTGAGGCAGCATTTTTCATTTTAATTTGGTTTAACTTGACGTTGACGAATTTAATTAATAAGTCTATATATATATATTAGTGCTGTCAAACGATTAATCACGATTAATTGCATTCAAAAGAGAGAGGTAGATAGATAGATAGACAGAGAGACAGAGAGATAGATAGATAGATGATAGATAGATAGATAGATAG